AGGTGCTTTTGTAGGAATGTTATCAACAAAGTTGACTCTGAACTACATAAAAAAAGATTGAGGCAGGTAATCTAAAGCTTGTGTCTAAGAGTTAGACTTTGAGTGATTTGAAGGAGGGGAGCAAGGTTTGGGGATGAAATGCTACAGTTGGTTCCTAACCAGTTTAGGGAACGACTGATAATATTGGAGTCAGAGAAGTCTGAGATACTTCAGGCTACAGTTGGTAGAGATCTTAGAAGATTTTTCTAGTTCAGTCATGGGATAGCATTGCTGGCAAGATCTGCACTTATTCCCTCATTGCCCCTTGAGAAAGATTGTAGCTCTAGAGGTTACGGAGAAGGACAGGGTTGAGGTCATAATGGGATTTGCAAAAAGTGATGAGAATTTTGAAATCAAAATGTAACCATTCTGAGTGCTGGTGTATTTCAGTGAACAAGATATGGTGTGAGTTAAGATGTGGCCTGCAGTGTTTGAGCTCATGTTTCAGGAAGATGTAAGATGAGAAGAAATGTGTTCAGGTTGGCCTGCACACAAGATATGATTTGCACTGAACGGTGAATTACAAAGTGCTGTCATTGCAGTAGCTCATATTGCTGTTTAATTTAGTATTGTGGTAAGTGTTATAGTGTTGTAATAAACTCTGGTGCTACAACTATTCTTGGCTTTTAATGTATTCTAGTCCAGATCTAAATTAAAGAACTCCAGAAGCTGTAAATCAGGAACAAAAACAGAAGTTGATGGAAAAGCTCAGCAGGTCTGGCAGGATCTGTGAAGAAAAATCAGCGTTAAAGTTCGGGGTCCAGTGACCCTTCTGTTGTAAAATGTTAAGTGTGGCCATGAGTGTGAAATACACTTTTCTAAAATTAAGTTGCTGTCAGGAAAGTACTTGAAAGAGGTTTAGATTGCAGGAGTTTTAAATAGTTTGTCTAGATTCCAAGGTACATACAATGTTAATCAAGAGTTTCATGTGTTTTGTTTTATTCATATTATTTCAAGTGGAACAGCAATCAAATCTTAACATACTGAGCCTTCTTTTCTCAAGAGAAAAGAAGGCTAAGGCAGTGACCTGATAGAGGTCTTTAAAAGTATGAAATGTTTTGAAAATTGGATACAGAGAGAGTATTTCCTCTTGTAGGGAAGAGCATAAGTTGCTGAAGGTAAGCATGTAGGTGCAGCAGGTGCTAAAGAAGGCAGATGGTACGTTGGCCTTCATTGCAAGAGGTTTCGAGTACAGGAGCAGCGATGTGTTGTTGCAGTTATCTTGGGCCTTGGTGAGACCACGCGTGGAATATTGTGTGCAGTTTAGGTCTCCCTTTCTGAGGAAAGATGCTCTTGCTCTCAAGGGAGTGCAGCAAACGTTTACCAGGCTGATTCTGGGGATGGCGGGTTTGACGTATGAGAAGAGATTGACTAGGTTGCGATTGTTTTTGCTGGAGTTCAGACGAATGAGGGGGGAACCTCATAGAGACTTATAAAATTCTAACAGGACTAGACAGGGTAGATGCAGGGAGGATGTTCCCGATGGTGGGTGTGTCCAGAAGCAGGAGTCACAGTCTGAGGATTCAGGGTAGATGATTTAGGATGGAGATGAGGAGACATTTCTTCACCCAACGAGTGGTGAGCCTGTGGAATTCATTACCACAGGAAGTAGTTGATGCCATAACATTGAATGTATTCAAGAAGCGGCTAGATATAGCCCTTGGGGTGACTGGGATCAAGGGTTATGGGGAGAAAGCAGGATTAGGCTATTGAGTTGAATGATCAGCCATGATCGTGATATATGGCGGAGCAGGTTTGAAAGGCCGAATGGCCGCCTCCTGCTCCTATCTTCTATGTTTCTATAACTTGGGGCCATCAATATAAGATAGTCACCAGAAAAATCCAAGTGAGAATTCAGGAGAAACAATTAGAGCTTCTGATCAAAATCATGGTCAGGATAAGTAACTCATTAACACCAGGAGTGATTCAAATGTGTAATATTGATGCATTTAAGATGTTCCTTGACAAGGATAAGAGGGAGAAGGGAACAGCCGATTGCAATAGATTTAAATGAGGAGAGACAGAAGGATGCTCGAGTGGCACATATACCCTGGTATGGACTGGGTGGGCTGAGTGGCCTGTTTCAGTGCTGTACATCCTACAGAATAGGTAGAAAAATCAAATAACAAGTTGATGGATGGGGAAATTCAGTTGGGTCACAGAAACCTGGCAAGTTTTAAACAAGGCTTTGAAAGATAGAGAGATGACGATGTGGAAGCGTGGGAGGGAGTTCTGAAGGCACATCCAGCAGTGGTGGGAAGAAGGATTTCATCAAGCATGAGTCAAACATGAATTTCTGAGTGACTGGCAGCCAGGGTAGGACGAAAAGAGATGAGAGGTGAGGACACAAAATGTAAGTTCAAAGGGAATTTGAAATTGGAGTGTTCCCCCACTGCACAGTGCCATTAAAAATAGCCACCAGGAGTTGTTTGCGATGCATGGAAGGACTCGCACTGGGAAACTTAGTTGCCAGTAGGCCCCTGAGCATGCCAAATCATGTCACATACAATCGAAAATGAGCTGAGGTCTTAAGTTAATGACCACGATCAAACAAAAAACCTGAGGCTTTGAATGACAAATAAATCAGCCTTTAATATAGACTCAGGCCTCATTGTCACAAAATCTTCCCTTCGGCAGTCCTTTAGGATCAAGAATGATTTCTTTCCCCTCTGGTGTTGTGCATTCTGAGTTGTCTAAATAGTGCAGTGCTGGATGCCCATACCCTTGCACAGTTGGGGCAGAGGTGGTATTTGTTGAAGTGGATGGGTAACATGCTCATATTACACTGCTGGTGCTTGGCCTTCAACTAGGGCCTGTCAGAGATGCTCACAATGGTTGGCTCCTTTTTCACCTAATTGGGGTCGTCCTGGGCTAGAGATTGCCACAAAATAACCAGCCTGTAACACTGGTGTGCACCTGACCAAGTATCCACCTCACAGGGAGACCGAGACATTGCTGGCTGAGAAAGAACCAAGTTTCATTTTGTGATCCTTCTCCCATCCTAATAATGTTAGGATGTCATAGTGGAGCTGTTAAGTAATCCCAGTAGTCAGATTCATGTAGTTTCAAAACAATTTTCATTGCAATTGCATTTTTGTTTGAATGATGTGATACTAATTGCCATGGTGATGGCTGACAGGTTTTAATCTGCATTCTGGAGGATTCTCAATCAGAATCTATAACAATGTTGAGGATGCTCTGGAGCTTGCACCCTGTAAATATATGGACAGCTCCATCTTTATCACAGGTACCCGCTACTCCTATGCATTATAGTGGTGCAGGTTTGCAATGCTGTAATACAACTCAAGTGTGCTCCATCTGGTGGTGATATTTGCCTTTGGTGCAACTTTTTACATTTGAGGCACTGGAGGATTTGGAACTAATTTTAGATCAGTGAGCCCCAAAAGTGTTGGCTGAATGGGATGGGATATTTAAAACACGGCTTCAGAAAAGCAGTGTATTGAAGCTGAAGGATAGGGTTTTGTCAGGAAACACTTGACTAGGGAGGTCTGGAGGCATTGAAAGCTTCGATGAGAATTTCATTAGCAAATGAACTGGGGTAGTGTAGAATTGAATGATATTATGGAGATCTGTGTAATTGTTTTTTGTATCACTGAATATATGTTAAGCCGATCGACTAAGCTGATTGAATAGGATGCTGAGGTGGTGAAAACCTTCAGAGTCCAGGGGCACTAGAAGGGTTGGTGGAGAGCCAGAGGGGCAGGTTATGTTGCATATCATCAGTGCACATGCGAGGCTACTAAAGAGAGGAGGAAAAAAGATAGATTTCAGGATAGCAATTCAGGAAGAAGAGGTTAAATTTTTTTTTAAGCTGCTGTACCATGATGAGAAGACGGATCGTGGAGAAGGAAGTCCCACCAAAACCCAGAGATCATCAGATAGAGGCAAGTGTCTAGTTCAGAGGCTGTAATGGGCTAATGGGGGAAATTTGGCACAACAAGCAAATTTCAGTCATGACTTTAGCTAAGTGCAATTTCCTGTTTCTACTTATTTCCTAGGGCAGAGGTGCACTGCAGGATATTGACCAGCTGTCACTTTTCAGAACCCTTTGTAAGTTTTGTGCTTCCGTGTGTACAGTTCGCGACATTGTTCCTGTGCTCCGGAAAGCTATTGCAGTGGCTCAGTCTGGTACTCCAGGTATGAAATTCGATGCTCTTACTTGATGCGTGTTTCTGCTCCCTGGCCCCAAAACAATCTCAAATAAATTTCTGTCAATAATGCATAGTGAGTCTGTGAGGATTTCAGAGCCAAAGGTCAGGTCAATATTTGTCTAAAGATACTAAATCAAACTAAGTTTTCTCATTTTGTTTTAGTTGCACAAACACTGTTATCTCTCGTTTTTAGATATTGGTGCAGGACAGCTGAAAGGTGAGAAGATAAAAATTGAGAGTAGGCCATAAGGCCCACAAGCCTCATCTACCATTATAAAGGATTGGTGCCTAGTTTCTTTTCTATCCCTTCTCTATCCCCATGGTTCATTGTTCCGATATACAGATGTTCGACAAGTCCATTGTCAATGGATTTTTTTGAATATTCATTTAAAAGATGTGGGCGTCATTAGCTGAGACAGCAATTATTGCCCTTGAGAAGGTACTGGTGAGCTGCCTTCCTGAGCTGCTGCATTCCCTAGGTAAGTCTGCAAGAGCTATTGGAGAGGGAGTTCAAGGATTTTGATACAATGACACTGAAGGAATGATGATGCATTCCTAAGTTAGGATATGTGGCTTAGGGAGGAATTTGCAGGTAATGATGTTTCCATGCTGCCCTTGTCCTTCTAGATGGTCATGGGTTTGGAAGGCTGCTGTGTAAGGAGTACTGGAGAATTTCTACTTTGTATCTTGTAAATTGTACACGCTGCTGCTACAGTGTTCAGTGGTGGAGAGAGTAAATGTTTGAGGACGTGGTGCCAGTCAAGCAGGCTGCTTTGCCATAGATGGGGTCAGGCATCTTGAATGTTGTTGGAGCTGCACTAGTAGGTACAACCTTCACAAGGCCATCAGGGATGCCACAAGGCAATACCAAACTATGCTTGAGACCCAGATTAACCACACAGACTCCCATTGTTTGTGGCAAGACTTGCACTACATAATGGGCTACAAAGCAAAATCAAACATAATCGCGGGCAACAATGCATCCCTGCCCAAAGAGCTCACTGCATGCTACGCTCACTTTGAATAGAAGGTCAGTGAGACAATGTTACCTATCCCAACAGCCTCAGATGCAGCTGTACCCACAGTCACCACCACAGACATTAAATCAGCCTTCCTGAGAGTGAGCCCACAGAAAGTGACTGGCCCGGATGGAGACCCCAGCCATGCATTCAGATCATGTGTGGACCAGCTAGTCAGTATTCACTGACATCCTTAACTTCTTACCACAATCTGAGGTCCCTATCTGCTTCAAGAAGACCACCACCATCCTGGTGCCAAAGAAAACACATGCAATGAGCCGCAATGAGCCACAATGACTACTGCCTGGTGGCTCTGACTTCCATAATTATGAAGTGCTTTGCAAGGTTAGCCATGGCTCACATCAACTCTAACCTACCAGATTGCCTTGAACCTTTGCAATTCATCTACTGGTGCAACAGGTCCATAGCAGATGCTATCTTCCTGGCCCTCCACTCATCCCTGGAACATCTGGATAACAAGGATAACTACTTCAAGCTCCTACTTATTGACAACAGCTAAGCCTTCAACACCATAATTCCAAAGAAAGTCATCTCCAAACTCCAAGACCTAGATCTTGCCGACCCCCTCACCCCCAACTCTGGAATCTTATTCTCGATTTCCTGACCCATAGGCTGCTATCAGTAACGATAGGCAACAATACCTCCACAATAATCCTCAACACTGGTGCCCCGCAAGTATTCAGCCCTTTACTATATTCCTTAGACACTCACAACAGTGGCCAAATTTTGCCCTAACTCCATTTACAAATTTGCTGGTGACACCACCGTAGTGGGTCAGATCTCAAACAACGATGAGACAGAATACAGGAAAGAGATTGAGTGCTTAGCGGCATAGTGTAAAGAAAAAAATCTCTCCATCAACGTCAGCAAAACGAGGGAGCTGGACATTAAATTCAGGAAGCGGAGTGGAGGGTATGCCCCTGACCACGTCAATGGTGCAGAGATGGAGATGGTTGATAACATCAAGTTTCTAGGAGTGATGATTACCAACAATCTGTCCTGATCCTCCCACGTTGATGCAACGGTCAATAAAACAGAACAATTCCTCTAATTCCTCAGGAGGCTAAGGAAAGCCGACATGTCCACAAAGACTCTTATCAATCTTTAAAGATGCACCATAAAAAGTATCCTACCTTGATGCATCACAGCGTGGTATGGCAACTGCTGTTCCTAAGACTGCAAGAAACTGCAGAATAGTGAACACAGCCCAGTCCGCCACACAAACCAGCCCTCCATCCACTTATTCCATCTATACTTACTGCTGCTTCGGGAAAGCAACTAACATAATCAAACACCCCCTCCCACCCGCCTCATTCACCCTCTTCCAATGGGCAGAAGGTATAAAAGTTTGAATACACGTACGATCAGATTCAATAACAGTTTCATCTCTACTGTAATAAGACTTTTGAATGGACCTGTCAAATGTTAAGTTAATCTCTGCACCTTCTCTGTGGCGTTAACACTGTTTTCTGCAACCTGTTCCGCTACCTGGTGTAATTTGTATGGTATGATCTGCCTGTAGAGCACACAAAACAACACTCAACGGGTGAGTTGACCACCGTAGGATTCCTAGCTCTTGTACCCACTGTATTTATATGGCTAGTCCAGTTTAGTTTCTGGAGAATAGTAACCTCCAGGATGTTGATTGTCGAGGATTCAGGGATAGTAATGCCGTTGAACGTCGTGGGGTGATGGTTATTGAAAGGTCCTTGAACTCTTTTGCATGATTGGTTCTCTGTTCTTCCTAAGACACTAATATCACATTAATGTCATCATCATTTGTTATGAAACAGGTGCCAATTTTAAAGGAAGTGTTACATATGAACTCCCTTTGAGAGTTATTTCATCTTTGGTTGATCAAATGTTTTATGTATGAGTCCAAGACTTTTGAGCTCTTTTTTGCAATTCCTTAAAGACCGCTATCTGTACATTTGTCACAGTCTAATGATTGTTTCTTGACTTGATACGGTTAATGTCGAGTGCAAATTTTCACAGCTACATACTATATGCATAGGGTACCATATCCATCTGGTAGAGTATTGTGTATTACACCCAGAGGATAGGATTGGCAATACACAAGTTAACATTTAGTCAGGTAGAGAAAGTAAGATTTACAAAATGAGTATAGTGCACAGAATGGGAGATAAGTTTGTGACTTGGCTAGTAGATATTTACAGAGGAAGCTCTAGAACTTTGTGGCTAGGCATCTCACAACATAATTGCTATTATGGGCAAAACCTGGATGTGCAAGAGACCAGAATTGAAGGAGAGCTGAGATCTGAGTGAGTTGGAGGAGTTTACAGAAGTAAGAATGGCCAAGCCCATAAGGATTTGAGCACAGATGGGAATTTTAAAATCAATGCATTACTGGAGGAGGATGCAATGTATGTCAGTGAGCACATGGATGATAGGTAAAGGGAACTTGATGCAAGTCAGGAGACAAGACGTACCGTTCTGGACAAGCTCAGCATAGTTGACCAGCCAGGAGAGCTTTGTATTCACTAAGCCCAGAAGTAACAAAAGCACATGAGGTGGCTTGATACATACCTAAGATGGAGAATTTCAAGACTAGGCGGCACATTTTTAAGGTGATAGGAGACAGATTTAGAAAAGATGTAAGAGGCAAATTTTTTACACAGAGGGTGGTTCGCGTGAGGAATGAACTTCCTGATGAAGTGGTGGATATGCGTAAAATTTCAACGTTTAAAAGACATTTGGATGGATATATCAATAGGAAAGGTTTGCAGAGATATGTGACGAGATGAGGCACTGACTCATTTCTAGAGTGGAAATTTCACACGCATCAGAATCGGCTTCTCTGTGGTTAAAGCCTATTGCTTGGGCAGGAATAAATGAAGCTTCAGGTATCTTCTAGTTTGTGGGACACAGACAGTTTATTGCTGACTCCCTCAAATGGGGGAGCTGTAGCATAGTGATGATGTTGGATTACTAATTTAAAATGTGAACTAATGTTCTGGAGGCATGAGTTCAGTCTGTGGCTGGAGATTTAAATTCAGTTAATAAAATAAATCTAAATCCATTAAAAATCTGCTATTTGCAATGATACCAGATTGTCATAAAATAGCGATATGGTTCATGTGTGTCACTTAGGGAAGGAAATCTGCCATCCTTAATTAACCTGGTGTCTGTGTGACTCCAGACTCCGCAATGTACTTGAATCTGAACTATCCTCTGAAATGGCCTGCTTAGTCTTTTAAGGACAGTTAGAAAGGGCAATTAAGCCTCACCAGTAATACCCACATTCTATGAATGAATTAATTAAAAAAAACTCTCTTTTCCTAATTGACCAAATCTGCTGGTCCAAATTTAGTTGGTTTGTATTTAATGATGTCTATTGTAAAACAGATTTTTTTTTATTTTTACACGTTTTTTTTCCTACGTGCCTAGGACCTGTGTTTGTTGAGTTCCCAATTGATGTCCTCTACCCATATCATGTAGTTCGGAAAGAGGTCATTCCAAAAAGTGCACCTAAAGGAGTTGTGGGAAAAGCTGTAAATTGGTGAGTTTACTGAAATCACACTGCGTTAAGAGAGTAAAGCTAGTTTAGTAGTATTACCCTTAATTCTGTGTTTTAAAACAACAATCTGTGTAGTGAACTGTATGATCAGTTATTTTTCCCAATAAGTTTTGTGAAGACATATTGCCGAAAGCAAGTAGGAAATTTTTGCTACAACACTGTCAACCTTTCGTGCAAATGAATGTGGTTTTTCTGGGCAGGAAAGGGTGTAATGAATCAACTATCCACCAGAAGATGCTGTTGCTTTTTCCCCAGTTTTCTGTTCAAGTTAGCCATCATCTCCAATGGCACTAAGTGAACGTGGCCACAAGTATTGCTCTCCCATTTTCTCTCCCTAGTGTGGTGACTTGTGCTGCAGGACAGTTCCACGGGCACCTTTCAGCACCTCACAAAAGTGGCCATTTCCCCAATGTGAGCCCAGAAAGTGAGTGTGAATGGCCAATTCAACCATGAAGGCATCACAGCAGAGCTCGAGCCTGTCTTCACCCCAGCGTCCACACTGTTTCCAGCAGAGGTAAGCTGGCTGGGGTTTGGAAACTGGAACGCTGGCTTGTTTTTTTTTCCCCTTTCCTAATTTGGGGTGGGAAAGCTGAAAATTAATATCAACCCCTATGAAAGCAAAACAGCCATTTGAACTTAAAACAGCTAAGAAAGGATATAATTAAATTCAAATTCGTAGGAGAGAAGGTTCACTTGACCATCTCCTGGGCTGAAGTTGTTTTTATGAAGTTGTGTTGAGCTGGCTTCAGCTAGAGTTTAGAGGAGTGGGAGGTAATTCTCTTGAAATCTTTAAAATTCTTAGAGTAAATACAGCAAAGATGGCTTGTGGGAATCTAGAACCTACACTCAAAATGAAGGGTAGGCCATTTAGAAGTGAGAAGAGCAGCTTCTTCACTCCGAAGATCATGAATCTTTGAAATTCTCTATCCTAGAGGATTGTGGAGGGTCTGTCATTGACCGTGGTCAAGATAGAAATCGATAAATTTCTAAATAGTAATTATATGAGAACAGTCTGGGAAAATGACAAAGAGGCCGATCAGCCATGGAGTGATCTAGAATGGGGTTGCAAATCTGAGGGTCTAAATGTTCTACTCCTAACCATGTGCTGCAATGAAACAAGATTCTTGATTTGACATGCTGGAAGGATGTTTCCCGTCGTGGGATGGATTAAAGCTAGGGGACTCAGTTTTAAAATGAGAAGTGTTTATTTTCTTAAATCAGGGTTCATTAATCAACTTCTCTTCCCAGAGAGTCTCCTCTTGACTGACAAGGGAGTGAACAGTTGCAGAGGATGGACAGGCCAAGCAGAAGCTACAGTTAGATCAGTCATTAGAGCAGGCTTGACTGACCAAATTTTGTAACATTGCATGTTAGTAATGGTTGCTTGATGGTATAGAAATTGAGCTTTCCTGGAAAATGGAGACGTGTTGTGGAAGCTGTTCAACTGCAAGAAAAATTGGTGCAATTTGGTAGGAAATCCAATTCATATGTGCAACTCCGATTGTGATGTAGACTGCATGACACACAATATATACATACATATACACACATACATATGTTCAGTATCATTTATTTTAAGGTTAGATATTTGGATTTTGAGTTAGTGACAGTTTTTTCTGTCTGAAGAGTTTAGTAATTAGCTTGTAACTAACCAAAGTGATTTCTCTCAAAACAATTTGAGAGCTAACCTTCAACACTAATAGGTTTTTATACACATTAGGTGGGGCTAATGGCTAAGCAAGGGAAAACATTACAGTCAAGGTTTCTGTTAGAAATTTCTAGACTTTAATCTTTTTTATTAAGCTTAGGGGAAATGCCAGTAGCTCAGAGAGAGGGAGTTTTTGTTTTGGGCAGTTCTGCAAAATTCCATGGATGAAGGTGAATGTATAAAGCTGAGAAAGGGAGAAGGTTTGTTAATACTAGATTACCTTCGAGTAAGGAATTGAGTGTCGTGCCAGACTAGGAGAGTTTGTTTAAAACTCCGAAGAAATTATTTGTATTGAGTATGTTTAAGTGTGTGATAGCTTCTTCCTGGAGTTATCAGATTTTCCACACTGGAAGTTGAAGTTGCAGTTAACTTAAACCAGTCACAGTGTGAGAAAAAAAACTTCTCCAGTTTCAATACGGTACAAAAAATGTTTTGTGATCTCTAAAGGCATGTTTTGGATTATACATTTATCATGTGTATAAAAATCTCTGTTTGTCTTATATATAAATAGATTGGTGTATTCTGTGTTGCCTCCATTTCTTTTGGTAATAAGCTTCTGTTTTATTGCATTGCATGCTTCTGTTTCAGTGAAAGACTATTTCGTTAAAACCAGAAAAAAAAGTGAAGGTGATTTTACAAGCCAGATTATCAGTCTAAGATCTGACTTGCCCAGTAATGACATCAGTTGGGGTTGTAACACTGTGAAGACATGCCCTCTGTAGGCAAAGGACCTATATCCAGGCACAATGTTTTATTATGAAGTAAATAAAGGTATGGGGGAAACAGAAGTTCCTTGGTACATTCTCCGTGGCAACGCCTCAAGCAATTGTGGTCAACCCTGGCTGACCAATTCATATAATTTTTCCTGCAGTAGAAAATGTTGCGCCCTTTCAAATTTAGTATTCTTTTATTTACCCTGGTGAGTGCAAAATGACCTGCTTCAACAACGTGTCTCTTTTTCTCAACAATTCTTTCGTTGATTGATTATGGTTTGGTATAAGAGTCAAAAACAGGCTCCATTCGTACAGTTATGTTTGGATCGTTGAGGAGGTGGATGGGCGGTGCAGTTCTAATATGGCAAGTAGTGAAGGAAGAAGTTTAAATCTGACTCTTTGTCACTTCCTCCCCAATCCCAATCTATCAATAGGAAACATGGGAGTGTAGCACAAGTACTTAATCCATGGTGGCATCAGTGAATGTTTGCCATCTATTTTCAATCAGCAGAACTGATCTTTAAATGCTAGGTCTACACAGTAGTGCATGGTGGTGTTGCGGTTTAACAACTCTAGTGGCCTGTGTGTAATTACGCAGAATGTGGGATCATTGTACAGTTCCCTTATATGCTTTGACTTAGTTGTGAAGGGGAAACTGGGTCATGAATCAGGGTGAGGGGTGGTGGGGTAGGGGTGGGATATTTCGTTGATCGTGCAGTCTGGCTAATTCTTATGTATACTATATAGACACATTTAGGGTTGGGTGGGTTATTCGGACTACGCCAGTTGGTTTGGGTAAAACCATTGAATTGTAATTGTATGGTATTTGAGTTGTTGAAGGAAGTTGTATCAAGAAAAGAATAGAGGATAAAAACCAAACGAGCTGCAGATGCTGTAAATAGGAAACAAAAACAGAAGTTGCTGGAAAAGCACAGTTCTGAGGAAGGGTCACCAGACCCGAAACGTAAACTGTGATTTCTCTTCACAGATGCTGCCAGACCTGCAGAGAATAGAGGATATCCAGCTCAAATCTCTGTTTGCTATCCAGTAACCTGGGGTGGGTGGCACAGTAGCTCAATCGTTAGCAGTGCTTCCTCACAGTGCCAGGGACCAGGGTTTGCCTTTGGGCAACACTCTGTGTGGAGTTTGCACATTCCCCCTGTGTCTGTGTGGGTTTCGGTGCTCCAGTTTCCTCCCACAGGCCAAAGATGTGCAGGTTTGGATGGATTGACCATGCTGAATTGCTCATAATATTCAGGGATGTGCAAGCTAGATGGATTAGCCATGGGGAATGCATGGAGTGGGTCTGGGTGGGATGCTCTTCGGAGGGTTGGTGTGAACTCAAATGGCCTGCTTTCCACACTATAGGGATTCTACGAATCTATGTCTGCAGATTCTGGTGGCGTTTTTCCTGTTAAAATGTCTTTGCAGTTGGTATAGTTTGACGTGCCTCCAAAATCTAGCTGCATTTATCTTGAACATACTGGTGTTACTTATTCTCTGAGCTCATTATGTACAAATCATTCACATAGATGCCTGAAGAGCTGATGACAGTTGTGAAGGTAGCACGTTAAATAAATGCTCCACTCAAAGTTTGGACCTTGGTGAGAGTTGTGTTTTGAGTTGCACATCAGTTTTTTTCTCTTCTGCAATAAGTTCACTTTATCTTTCCTCAGGTATCTTCATAACCATCTAAGTAACCTGTTTGCTGGAGCCTGGGATAAGAGGGACATCTCGCCGCTACCAGTGAATCATCCCATGGCCACAGCTGATGAGGTGAATTTTTGAGAATTGTGATATTCAAAGTGGGAATTGGCTTTTATAAGGCATCATGGGAATTAGCATCTTTGACTGCTGGAGATTGTTGCAGATTAGGAATGGCCATATGATTCTAATATGAACATATGAATTAGGAATAAGAGTGGGCCATTTGAACTCTAATGCCTGCTCTGATTTTAAGTAAGGTCATGGATGATGTGATTGTGGCCTCAAATCCACTTCCCCACCAACCCAACTCCCCATACCCGTTCACTTCCCCCATTAGTCAAAAATCTGTTCTACCTCTGAGTTGAAAGTATTCAGTAAACCTGCTGCAGCGGTCTCTGGGGAAAGTTCCCAAGGCTTGCAACCCTTTGCTTATCACCACTTCTGCTGAGACCCACTAAATTAGTTCAGACCTGATCAAACCTTTGCTGGTCCTTACTTATCTCCTGCATTGACCAACTAGAACTTCAGTCAGTATTGCAAAATTAATGCTTTATATATGACGTTTAGGCACCAATTTGAATGCCAGTTTTTGATTTATTTTTTAAGGTGCAGCGCTGTATGGAAATGGTGAGCAGGGCTAAAAAACCGGTCATCCTTGTGGGCAGCCAAGCAACGCTCCCACCAACACCTGTGGACAATGTTCGGTAAGTCACTGAACAGCTACTATCCGTGACCTGGTCTTACACACTTGATCCTACTTTATCAACATTTGGTTGCATCCCATTTTATTTGCTTAAGCACGTGTGAAATGATCAGTGAGGATAGAAATGTCTTGGGATGCTCTTTAAGCATTAGGTTAGACACTAAGCCAGTGCCCTGTTTTAATATTTAGATCTGGGGTCGATTATGGCCTGGAATTCTCCCTCCTTTCCTTGTTGTAGGAGTCAGAATTTACAATTTGAGAGTTATTTTGGGAAAAGAATCATGGTACTTTACCATATGGAGGCCCGGGATCTAACGTAATCTTTTAAAACAAAAACAGAAGTTGCTGGAAAAGCTCAGCAGGTCTGGCAGCAATTGTGAAGAGAAATCAGAGTTAATGTTTCAGATCCAGTGACCCTTCCTCAGTTCAGGTCACCGGAACCAAAACACTAACTCTGATTTTTTTTTTCTAACAACGTATTCTTTTGTGGGATGTGGACATTGCTGATAAGGACAGCATTAGTTGCTTGTCCCTTGTTATCCTTGAACTGAGTGGGTTTATCAGACAATTTGGAGGTAGTTAAGAGTACACTACACTGCTGTGGATTCTGGTGTCGTGTTAATATCGGACTTCATAAGTTAGTGCTTCCTAAACAGTTGGTCACTGTCACCCCATTTTGAGGGTTGAAAATTGCCGCCACTCATCTCAGAGAGCTTAGTGCTGGGGGTGGTGTGTGTGTGTGGGGGGGCGGTGGGGCAGTGGTTGGGAAAGATGAGACAGTGAGGGGCTCTGGGCAGATAGTTCCTACTGTCGCGGGCTATTACTGCCTCTTGAGCTCATGACCCCAAAATTATAGCCTGTGACCCTACATGAAGTCTTGACCACTAGTTTAGGAAGGCTTGAGGCAAGGACAGCAGACATCAGTAAACCAGATGCATTTTAATGATGTTGATTTCATGATTACCAATATTATTTTTGTAATCCAGATTTATAATTAACTTTAATTCTATCACCTACTGTGGGATTTAAAACGACATCTGCAGAGCCTGCATTATTAAACCAGTGAGATTGCAGATACGCTGCAGCGTTGCCCTATTGTTATAGCAAGTGGAACTAATGAAGGAAAATCTTCAGAGGATACACTAGGATGCTCTGTGCATACACCCACGCTGCATTCGAGTAGAGACAACAATAGTGACTGGTGTTCAATTGGTAAGATCAGACGACCTTTTCCACCTCTCTTGTACCTTGTGTGGGAAGGAGAGCTGGAAGAATGGTCAGAGAGGGAGTTTATGAGACTTGAAAAGGGAAGGTAGGTGCTGGGTTAAGGAAGTGCTAAAAATCAGGGATGTGATGACTAAAGAGGCAGGAAAAGCGGAGATTGTGGGCTGTAATATCTGGGTGTCACTTAGTCAGGTTTGGGTATGAAGTGTGCCAGTTCTACATGAAATGAGTTTAGGGCAAAGATTAAAATTGTCTCTAAAGTCTGTATATGTGTAATAAAGCTCTTTTGGATTTGAATCAATCTAGGACTAGGCCTGAAGGACTGAATTTACATGCGCAAAGTATTCTGTGAACTGTTTTGAGATTGGCCAATATACCGCATCCTTTTTTGAAATGCTTGTTAAAGTTGCAGATTGGAAAGAAAGAAATAATATTTTGACGTTTATGTTGATTTCTACTTGTATATTTTCCATTTGATCCTTTAGTTCTGCTAAACACCATTCCTGATCTGTAATAGGACACTGGCACATTTATGTACCTGATATTGTTAAAAAAACTTTCCAACCAGGGCAGCTCTGGAGTCTCTGGCTATCCCTTGCTTTCTGGGAGGCATGGCTCGAGGAATGCTGGGAAGAGACAGCCCCATTCACATCCGACAGAACCGAAGGGATGCTTTGAAAGAGGCGGACCTGGTCATACTGGCAGGTCAGTGAGATCCTGATCGAATCACAATGGCAGGTCTTGAATTGTGTCAGAAGCCTGCAATAAGCATTAAAGCTGAGTAAAAAAAATATTTGTGATTATATAGGGCTTTGCCATGCCCCTTGAAGTGCAATTGCTAATCTTGATGGCTGCAGCCATTCTGTGTATGTGGCACTGTTGGATGCTTTACTCAGTGCTAGGAGCTAGTACAATGAATCTTATGTTGCCTGTCTACTGGGACTTTTCCAACTTGTTGCAGTATGTGCCTGTAATATGTGCGGGTGATAGCTTCCCCTCTTTCCTGCATACTGTGCTCCTGCTGCTGGAGTGGCTTCACCAGGGTAGCTCCTTTCACACGTGAGCCCTGGACTGACTAGTGCTGACAATTTCTGGTCCTTGTTGTTTAATATGGGGTTTATTTTTCCCCTCTCAGACCTTATTATGGGACAAATGTGAGAATAGATGTTGGCCATGTGGACCTTGGAGCTCGAATCATTATTTAGTTAGATCATGACCAATCTGTATCTTTACTTCAGCTACCCCACCTGATGCTATATATTTTAATAACTTTGTCTGTATACAGAAAAATGCAAAATGAGATTTTCAGTAAACCCTATCTTGAGCTGCTTGACTCATGATTTGAAGGTTTCAGTGTTAGCACAGGGTGTGTCTAACCAAATTGATACTAACTAGTGTGCCGATCAATTTTCTGTTTAAAAGAGAACAGATATGTTACATTTCTCCGCATCTGTACTGTGGATCATTTGTGAGCAGTTGCTGTTAGCTGGGCACTGACTTGGTAAATTATGATGAATTTAGTGCAGAGAAACCTACATTTAACGAAACGCAGCTTGCAAAACAGATATATTTTAACTGCAGCAAAGTTCTGCCCTTAATCAGAGCTCTTGTCAGTTGACCTTCTGCGTGATTCTCTCCTACTCTGATATTGGTGATTAAGCTCCCCTCAACCTGTGCACCACGTGCCATAGACCCCACCAAGCCTGATGGCTTTTATGTTTTTGACAAACAGGTGTAGTGTGCGATTTCCGTTTGTCCTATGGCCGTGTCCTCAGCAAACGGAGCCAGATAGTTGCTGTAAACCGCGACTGTTCGCAGTTGCTGAAAAACTCAGACATGTTCTGGAAACCAACACTCGCTGTGAGAGGTAGGTGGTGATATCTTCATTTAAGAACCAAGAGGTAGCTCCCTACAATGGGCTCAGGGAAACATAGTCCATGGTTGTATTCAACCTCATAAACCTTGCATGTCATGACTAACCTCCGATGTTAATTCAAAGACTACACGAGTTGCTAAGTTTAGTTTTGACTCTCTGTCTGACTAGGGAGTCAAGAAAATTCTGTGAATGGTGAACAGCCTATCTCAATTGGCTGGCTTGTTTTCTTGTAACCACTGAGGTGGAGTGAACAGCCCCTGCAACTTTCCCCTTTCCAATGTGCATTTTCAGGGGGAAAGCACCACTCAGACACTGCCTGTTCTCCAGCCCCAGCCCTCAAACTAGCTGCACAGATCTTTGTGCATGGAACCTGTACCAGAGACTGAAAGGAGGAAGGACAGTTTTGCTTAAGTTACAGCCGTGCTACTTAATGAGTATCAAAGTGAGGCACTGACTTTGTGATAATCTAAGCTAGAAGACAATTCTAATCTTGAAATACACAGTAAAGCCAAGTCTCAACCTGTTCCTTGACACTATCCGTTACAGAGACCCAAGCTATTGAGCTGACTCCTTACAATTTCTTTGCTGTGGATTGTGGAGACAATTCATTAAGTTCTTTCCAAGCCTGCTGTCTAACCAAACTTGCTTGGCTTGAAAACTTCACAAACTAAACCTTTCTGCTGAGGTACCTGGTTCCCTGAACTGCTGTTATTGGGTGAGAAACTAAAATTGTTTCTAAACTCAACGCTGGTGTTTTCTGAATGGAGCTGGAAACAAAGCAAATAACCTTGAACATTTTCTCTACCTGTTGTAAGCCCAACAGAATAAACAGCTTGCCATCAACAGGTGTCTGTAGTTCGTTTTATCACTGATGCATTGATTTAATCACACTTTTGGATTTTATTGAAATCCAAAATGATAATATGTCTTTAATTACACCTGCTCAAAGACCAACCAGGAATGGGAAATTCTTGGCTGTCATTGGTTTATTGAATGAATGATAAAGTGGATAACACTTGGCAACATTGTTTGGAGAGGATAGTCATGCAGATTGGGACTGACTTTCCAGTCGTTGAATTGATCCAATCCCATCACTGTACTCTGAAGCATTATGATCTTATTCAGTTTGTTTAGTTGTAACTCTTACAAAATATCTGTACATTTAGTCTTTCTTTCTTTCTCAGGTGATGCCGGTTCCTTTTTAGTTCGGTTGGCAAAGGGGTTAAGAGGTTATCAGGCTCCCAGCGATTGGACCCGATACCTGAAGGATGGAGATGTTAAAAAGGAAAAGGCTAATAGGTACAAATACATGTATACAAAAGGAAAGGAACATGAAGGCTATAACCTAGAAAAATGTGCTCTTTATTAGTTTAATATAGATTACAGACTAACATGATAGTCCTTTAACTTATGAAGCGATGAGATCGGGTAGAAGGCACTAATGATTTCTAGTGATTTGAGGTATTTTAAACGACGGGTAAAATTAAATGGAAAAGAGGCAACAAAAGAAACTTCGAAGCTTAGGAAATTCAAGCTAAATTGTTGAGGCAAAAACAATCTGACCCACAGCACTGTGATCTCCATACGGAAGCAGTTCCAGAGTCCACTCCAGGTGAAATCAGAATTAAAACCCATGCTGTTGGCACCAGTTTGGTCCACACCAGCTGTACACCCAACTGACCTACATCTAAACTCTGCAATATAGCCTGGACCTGTGTATAGTGATGGTAGAGACATCACATAGCTGATAAGGAATCTCTCCAGCCATTACTACCTGCCAGTAGTGTGTATTTGTAGGACTTGCAAGTTGATACTCAACTAGTTTTTCCTTGGACGACTGTCCCTGTGAAGTTTGCACATTCTCCCTGTGTCTGCGTGGGTTTCCTCCAGGTGCTCCAGTTTCCTCCCACAGTCCAAAGATGTGCAGGTTGGGTGAATTGGCCATAGTAGATTGCCCATAGTAGATTGCCCATAGTATCCGGGGATGTGCAGGCTAGGTGGATTAGCCGTGACAAATGCAGGGTCACAGGAATAGGGTCTTGGGGGTGGGTCTGAGTGAGATGCTCTTCGGCAGATCAGTATGGACTTAATGGGCCTGCTTCCCCCACCCCCTGTAGGGATTCTACAATTCTAGTTTGGCCACTTTATGAATGCACCCTTCTGAGCCATCAAATCCTGGCATAGAACTTAAACCTTGAGCTTCTAATTCAGAGACAGGGATGCTATCCACTGTGACATAAGAACTCTGTCCAGCTGTGAATATTTGAAGTGAAATGGAATAACTAGATGTAAGGATGTGGAACTGACCTCGAACTGAACTGTTAGCTGACCTGCATGTTAAAGGTAGTAATTTGTGTTGTAATCGTCCTGGGTCAGTTTTAGTTTGAGAAGAATAATCTGAGGATTCCAATCCCAAGTATAGGCTGAGGAGCCCTGCAGCATGTTGCATGAGCATTTGTATTGAGCGATGACAGGACGGCACCCAGAGGTCAAGCCGACCAATTAATTGCTTTCAGGGCTCTCACACAAATAGTACTTTTTGATCAAGTCAGCAGATGTCAAATGTCAAAACCTTCAAAAGGGAAGGATCAGGCCAGGCCAATGAGTAAGGGACTAGAATTGCAGCTAAGTTTTATTGTTGAAGACTTGAGTTCTGGCGTTAAATTTGGATGTGCAAATGAATGATAATGTATGATGAAAGATTCAAACAAATAGAGGTGTGTGTTAAATATTAGGAAGTCTGTAGTAAGAAGG